GGGTGGGTCTGATTTATGAACATCCTGTTGTGTTGGGCCTCTGTGGAATTCGGCTCCTCATGTTTCAACCATGTTTTGACCAAATCTTAGATTGTCTGATTCGGTCTGATATCCTACACTATCTATCTATCTATCTATCTATCTATCTATCTACCTACCTACCTACCTACCTACCTACCTAACTACCTTTAATGCGGCGGGTTGTACATTAACAATTCTGAATAGTTCAAAATTAAGGCAAACAAGCTCATTTGAACACTTTGTAGTTGTCAATCCTTAGTAGAACATGTGCATTAATGTGATGTATAATACAATTCATATAGCCTTCTTTCAAGTGTGACATAATTGTTCAAATACGTTTTGGGGTCACTATATATATTCACTTAAAGTCTTAACAAACTACTGTCTTTCAAGTGTTATCATACACAGACAGCTAAAAAAAGCATTTTTCATTCAAAGAAATGTTCACAGGAACATTAGTTTCTGAATCCTGTCCTCTTTTTTACTCTGTCTCCGTTAGCCATCAATAATCATAAATAATCTTAGTTGAAATAGGCCAGAGCTTGACTGGGTCGGTGCCTTCTCACTGTAGGACTAGAATAACAACATTCTATTCCCGGCAGGGGGCCGATCAACAGTGGCATCAATCAGTGTAATAGGAACGCGCCAGGCTTTGCTATTAATTGTGCGGCTGGGCATGCAGAAACACAATTAGAGCAGTGGAAATTAGGCCATGTGTTTAGCAACTTGTAGGGGTCATGCTGGCACTCATATGTCATGTAGCCGGCTGGTGGGATGTTTAGAGTCAGTACGGGGCCTTTCTGCACTTCTTTGACATACGTATATGTTCAATATGTTTAGCATTATGCTTCTGGTAATGTATGGGTCATAGGATCTGAGTATACATTCTGTTCTCCTACTGCCCACTCACTTCAAATCATTCCACAAGAAGCATTTTATTTATTTTTTTTCGTTTTAGTACTATTTTTGTTGCTAGCATTTTTGCCTGTTTTATTAGGACGGAGAGCGATGGAGGGGACATGAAATGATGGAATATAAGGGCAGAACAGGCTTGGGACATTATTTAAGCTGGAATTTGCATCAGGGTTGTTTTGTGTGTCAGTTCCTCAATGTGAGCTATATTTGAAAGCATTTTTAATTTTCTTTTTTTAATAATTATTTTGAATTTTAAATTTGTAGTTTTGAATTCTCATTTCTCATTTTTATTTGCAGTATATTTTCAGTATAAATTACCACTAATTATACAACATTTTCCAGAAATATTATCTGAGTATGCATTTTTCAGTCAAATGTGTGCTTCCTCACTTTTGGAAAGCATCAGCGGCCACTAGTATTTATTTATAAATGTTTTGAATTGAACCTTTTATTTTTATTATTAATATTTATTTTCTTATATTTTAGTTTTAGTATGTTTTTATTTATTTAGTATGTGCTTTTAACATTTGTATTATTATTTTTCTATTATTGTTATTGATGACAATAATAATGTAAGTGCTTGGCAACATTTCTATTTCATTTCAACTTTTCATTTAGGTTAGGTTATTTTTTTCATCTAATATTTATATTATTTATATGCTTTTTTAGTTTTTTGTTATTAATATTTTGCATTTTTATTTGCATATTTTATCATGTTTTTATTTTAATTCTAGTATTTCTTTATTTGGTGTGTGCTTTTGTCATTTTAATAGGGTTTGTTTTATAATTATTGCTATTTATGATTCATTTATTTTCTAGTTTAGATTTAATTCAGTTTTAGTTCTTGTTTATTTCCAGATGGTAATTTTAGTGTTTAAACTAGGCAACTTTTCTAATTTTCATTTCATTTTTTTTCATCTAATATGTGTATTTTATTCCAGCTTAATTTTGATTAACACATTTCTTGAATCATTTTAGTTATAATTAGCAATAATAATCCTGTTAACTGCTAGGCCGTATTACTGTATGTTGCACATATATAGAAGTGAAGAGTCACTTTAGGAATAATACAATCTAATTAAACTGAACTGACTTGTCTGCTCTAGGTATTTGGATTCTTATTGTACTTGAACCTCTTTGAACTCTGTGTATTTCTGGGTTAGATTCAGTGATTGGGGGCAATCTTCTCAGAAACAGTCTTTTCAGATCTCATCAAAAGCATCAGTCCTGTTATTGAGCATCTGTGTGATGCCTCCTGTCAGTAGATGCTAACTGTCTTTGTTCTGTCTTAATGTAATGTTCAGTGACTTGTCAAGATGTACAATGCAATCTTCAGATGTTTTTTGACTCTTGTCTGTTCATTTAAAGATTTGAACAACTACATCAATGTTTCTGTAGAAATTAAGGATGACTACTCCACAGCACACACTTTTGACACTTTTCTATTTTGTCTTTTTTTTTTTAATGCACAGACAATTACATTGTATTACAGAAATATATAGCTTGCACAATACAGAAAGATTCTTCGGACACCCTAGCTATTTGAAATAGACTTCTGGGGTCAACTGACCTTAGTTTGAGATCTGCCATCCTAACGGCTCTAGAAATCTCTGGAGATTGAAGGTATAGTCTGATCTTTTCCATGGCTACTGACTAGAGCACATAGTGGAGCAGAAATGTTTAAATGAATTCCCTCCGGACCAGAATGGATTCATCTCATCCATTAGGATTCCCTTGAGATCCACCTTGCAGCTTCAAGTCCAAATAATTCCATTTAGACACATTTTAATGTATGTTGTGTTTCACGCACTGCTTGCTCCAGGTAACTGCTGAACCTCGAACGATCTGTGCTTTTAATTTCTGCCGGTTGTCTTCTCTTGTTTCTGTCTGTTGTATGAGATTTTGAGCCATAATAATGTATAACAGAGATTTGGAAAGATAGTATTTTGATAAATATAATTTGTCTGATTTATTGTCTGAATGCATCTCAAAACGTACCATTGACTCTGATTTTGTGGTTCCAAAACAGATCATTGGGATACATTACAGTAGGATACAGCCTTAAATTATTATTATTATTATTATTATATATACATACACATATATATATATATATATATATATATATACTCTAATATAATTCTCTCTCATCTACTTTTAATTTTTTTAATTGTTATTTTTATTTGTATTTGTTTAGCTTAAAAATGTTTGAGGAAGTTTTGAGTTACTATGTATTCTATGTATTTTCAAACTACATTAAAACTTTTTTTTTTAAAGCAAAATTATCAAGAAAATTTATTCCTTATGATGTGATCCCCGTCACTGTGTTTATGTGCAATAAATATGGATTCTATTTTCCATATTATTAAAATGGCATATATTTCCATACAATGGTGTGTTCACAATTTGAAATAACTATTTATTTCTATTTTTTTTTTATATATATATAATTTATATTTTTTAAATATAATGTATTCCTATGAAGCTGAATATTCAGCAGCCATTACTCCAGTCTTCAGTGTCACATGATCCTTCAGAAATCATATATTTAAAAAAAAATATTGAATCTGCCTTTTAATCTTTTTGTGGATTCTGAGATAATTTTCAGAAAGTTCATAAGAATGGTATTTATTTGAAAAAGAAATCCTTTGTCACTTTTGATCTATTCAGTATGTCCTTTGTGATTGAAAATATTAATTTCTTTCAAAAACAAACAAACTGAAATTTTAAAAACTTTTTTTTTTTAAAGCAAAATATCAAGAAAATTTATTCCTTATGATGTGATCCCCGTCACTGTGTTTATGTGCAATAAATATGGATTCTATTTTCCATATTATTAAAATGGCATATATTTCCATACAATGGTGTGTTCAATTACCTAGAAAAGCCCAACCATAATCGTGTTTTAACCCATGAAAACTGATTTCAAGACTCTGCTTTTTTGCTCAGTCCTTTGAAAAGCACAGCTGTATAATGAAATACAAATCACAATGACAAATCAGTTATATTCAGAGAAAAGGCTCTTAACTGAGATGAGTAAAATCTGGCTATAATTAAATGGTTACATGGCTTTAACTTAACAGAGCGAAAGATTGCAGATTTTAATGGCTGCCTCTGTCTTTTTTTCTGTTTTTTTTTCTTTCTCAGCTGTATAGTTCATTTGACTTTGGCCGAAAGTGGCAGCTGGTTCACGAGCGAGTGACTCCGAATCGCTTCTACTGGTAGGTGATGCATTCACAATCACACCTCATCTCCATTTCTCACACGATGTCACTAACTTACAATTTTATGGGCGAACAAGGAGAGTTTAGTCGAGTAATTGTTGACATTGACGTGTTCGTGATATGTGGAACGAGTTTGAGCAATTGAGAAGATGGATACGGTTGAAAGTTGTGTCCTTTTTTTGCCCGCTCTTATGCTTAGAAAATGCAGAGGCTGTTGTTCATGTCGACGTGAGATGAAAACTGCAAAGATGTTTGAGCTCTAAGACCTTTGTTGCACAACTCCTCTCCATTCAGTATCAAGACAATAAAAGAAAGGGAGAGAATAAGCATGGCAGAGGAAGATGGAAAGAAAATTGCGACATAAAGATGGCTGAGGAGAGTGAAAGAGAAAGGATTTGTACTCCACAGTGCATCTGGACTTTAAAGTTTTTTAGTTTTACAGATAAAGAAATGGATAGAACCTTTGGGAAAAAATCTCTTTAAATGATGTACACCCACATGAGATAAAGACTCCAGTAAGGCTGTGGGATCGAATTGCGATTTTTCTGTTTAAACTGGTGATTTTAAAATATGGGGGGGAAGAAAACACTCAAGATTTGCTTTTTTTGTAGGCCTGGACAATTTGAACAAAAATGTGTGAAATAATAATAATAATAATAATAATAATATTAATAATAAGTATATATATATATACAGGTGCATCTCAATAAATTAGAATGTCGTGGAAAAGTTCATTTATTTCAGTAATTCAACTCAAATTGTGAAACTCGTGTATTAAATAAATTCAATGCACACAGACTGAAGTAGTTTAAGTCTTTGGTT